TTAATTTTAATAAATTCCCTTAATTCGTTTCCATTTTGCAGGCTTCAAACGCTCTCAGCTCGACTCGCATTCATCGCCGTTGGTTACCGATGTCTCTATGTGCCCAGCAGCCAATCATGAGTTAATAATTGAATATTTTCGGCATATATGGCGCAAATTGCAATGATTTAGCAGAGGCCACGACCACCATGAGTCGAATGTCGGACATTGGGCGTTTGGCTTTGTGCAAATATTCCAATAAAAAGCAACAGCAGCAGCAGCAACATTTTGGTTGATACAAATACACATACATATGCATATGTACATGTATATCTCGATGAGTATAGCCATGGACAAGTTGGCTGAGCTTGTGCCAGGCTGTGCTGTGGTGTGGTGTGGCGTGGTGTGGTGTTGCTGCTCTCTGGCCATGGCCTTTTGTTGGCTCTCTGGATTTCCTGAATGACTTTTTGGCACTAATTAAAAGCAGCAAATAATTTTCTATCCCATCTCATGTACAGTGTCGCAAATGCAAATTTCCTGCACAAGCTCTATCCCCGCATTCTCTCTCTCTCTCTCTCCCTCTCCCTCTCTCTAGCTCTATCTCTCTCGCTCTATGCATGCGAGTTTTACAGTTCTGGTTGGCTGCGTTACTGATAAGCGTTGCTTATTGTCTATTTGGCAGGAGTCCTGGCCCAGGATGTTATTCCGAGCGGAGTCATGCGGCCGAAATGAGCTTAATATGTTTGAATATTATTTTTTCTCTGCAATGCAGCTCTTTAATTAGCTGTTAAATAAACTCAACCTTTGAACTAAAGAGGGTCAGTCAGAGCTCAGAATAACTAAAACAAATGACAATGCAAATATCTTCTTAAATTATTTATTTACTTTGTTATATTATTAAATACACGATTAGGGTCCAATTTATTGCTTTGGTTTTAAAACACACAAACAAATACTTAAATCCTTATACTCCAATGTTATCTACTTCAATTTCTCTTTCATGCGGTTCAGAGCACTGCCAGCCTTGAACCACTCAATTTGCTCGGCGTTGAAGGTGTGATTGAGCTGGATCTTGTCGCCGCTGCCGCCGTTCTTGATCTCGCACTCGATGGGCTTGCCRGGAGCCATGTCCTTCAGATTGAGCAGCGATATTTTGCTGGTGGGCTGRATCTTGTCGTAGTCGCTGGGATTGGCGAAGGTGAGCGCCAGCAGGCCCTGCTTCTTCAGGTTCGTCTCGTGGATGCGGGCAAACGATTTCACTATGATGGCCACCCCGCCCAGATGGCGTGGCTCGAGGGCGGCATGCTCGCGAGAGGAGCCCTCGCCGTAGTTATCCTCGCCCACGGCCACCCACTTGACCTTGTTGGCCTTGTAGTCGCGGGCCACATCGGGAACGCCGGCGAATTCGTTGGTGCGCTGATTCTTGATCTTGTTCATCTCGTTGTTCTCGGCATTGACGGCCCCGATGAACATGTTGTTGGAGATGTTGTCCAARTGACCGCGATACTTGAGCCAGGGCCCGGCAGCGGAAATGTGATCCGTGGTGCACTTGCCCTTGACCTTGATGAGCACTGTCAGATCAATGTAATCCTTTCCGTCCCACTTCGAGAAGGGCTCCAGGATCTGCAGGCGCTTCGACTTGGGGTCGACGGCCACCTTTACCTTACTGCCGTCAGCCGGAGGGGCGGCGTAGGTGTCTTGCCCGGGATCGAAGCCCTTCGAGGGCAGTTCCTCGCCCTGAGGTGCCTTCAGCTTGAAGCCCTTTCCCTTGGAGTCCTTCAGCTCGTCCTTCAGCGGATTGAAGTCCAGGCGACCTGCAATGGATAGCGCTGTTACCATCTCTGGGCTGGTCACAAAGCAATGCGTCGCCGGATTGGCATCGTTGCGTCCCGTGAAGTTGCGATTGTACGAGGTGACGATGGTGTTCTTCTCGCCCTTCTTCACATCCTTGCGGTCCCACTGGCCGATGCAAGGCCCGCAGGCATTGGCCAGCACCGTGGCGCCGAATTTGTTGAATGTCTCGATCATGCCGTCACGGTCAATGGTCGCTCGGATTTGCTCAGATCCGGGCGTGACATTGAAGGGTACCTTGGATGTGAGGCCATGGCTGAGGGCGTCCTTTGCGATGCTGACACAGCGACCCATGTCCTCGTACGAGGAGTTGGTGCAGGACCCAATCAGGCCCACTTTGATCTCCATGGGGTAGCCGTTCTTCTTGGAGTTCTCGCCCAGCTTGCTTATCGGATGCGCCAAGTCGGGCGTGTACGGCCCGTTCACCAGCGGCTCCAGCTCGTCCAGATTGATCTTGATTAGCTTGTCATACTTGCAGTCCTTGTCTGGCGTCAGGAGCTTCTCCTTGTACTTGGTGGCCTCCTCAGCGATGTTGCCCCGCCCCGTGGCGCACAAATAGGCGACCATGCGCTCATTTAGGGGAAAGAGCGAAGTGGTTGCCCCGATCTCAGCTCCCATGTTGCAGATGGTCGCCTGCCCGGTGCAGGAGATGGAGTCGACGCCTGGCCCGTGGTACTCAATGATGGCGCCAGTGCCGCCCTTCACGGTCAGGATGTCCGCCACCTTGAGGATGACGTCTTTCGCCGAGGTCCAGCCGTTGATTTTGCCAGTCAGCTCTACGCCGATCACATTGGGGCACTTCAGCTCCCAGGGCATGCCCGCCATAACATCGACGGCATCCGCACCGCCCACGCCAATGCACAGTCCGCCCAGGCCGCCGCCGTTGGGCGTGTGGGAGTCGGTGCCGATCATGAGCAGACCCGGGAAGGCGTAGTTCTCGAGTATGATTTGGTGAATGATGCCGCTGCCGGGCTTCCAGAAGCCCAGGCCGTACTTGGCGCTGGTGGAGGCCAGGAAGTCATACACCTCCTTGTTCAGGTCCTTGGCGCGCTTCAGGTCCTGCTCGCCGCACACCTGTGCCTCGATCAAGTGGTCGCAGTGCACCGTCGACGGCACGGCCACCTTGCTCAGGCCGGACGAGATGAACTGCAGCAGTGCCATTTGGGCGGTGGCATCCTGCATGGCCACGCGATCCGGACGAAGCAGCAGATATGACTCGCCGCGCTTGATGTCCTGCTCGCCGGCACTGTCCAAGTGCGAGTAGAGCACCTTCTCCGACAGGGTCAGCGGACGTTTGAGCCGAGATATAACACAGTCCACCCGCTCGCTGAGCAGCTTATAGGGCAGCGGCGTGTCCGGCTCAAACTTGGACATCGGCACAATGGCGGACTTGGAGCTCATGGAAACGTTCCATTGATTCGTCAATGGCTTCACCGCCCTTCTGCACAGCTTGCGCAGCCTCTCGGCTGTTCGGGCCAGCATACGCTTTGACATGATCGATCCTCTAGCGATGATATGGTTTATAGCAAAATATATATACAGATATATACAACTAAGACTTTCGATAATTTTGTCGCAATAATAAAATAGCTGAACTGTTTTTTTTACAAATTGGCTCTGATATATTTAGTTATTTATTTTTTGACAGCTTCTAAACAGCAGGCACGAAATGCCATGCGATGTCAAGCCATGCCATGCCATGCCAATAATGCCAAATGATTATCAATTATTAATTGGCAATGTGTCCGGGCATTACAATTGAGAGTCGATTAGTGGAAAAGCCATTTGGGGTCATGTTACAAAAATCAAACTCGAATTTACTACGGCTCTCAGCTGTGCAACATTTAAGCAGGTAGCTTTTGCGCATATTTGATGTGGACTAAGGTGCACAGCACAATGGGCGTGTCAACAGACCTGATGTCGCAATAAAGTGAGTGAGGCGATGCATATAAAACTATGCGGCATTTGGGCGACTCGTTCAGCTGAGCTGACGAGAGTCATTCCTGCCATAGGCCATCTGAATAGCAACAACAATGCAAATGGCAAACACATGGACAACACGTCATTTACTTGAGTGCAGAGGGGTGTGGAGCGTGGCAGTGGCAGTGGCAGAGCCCAAAGTGTCAACTGGAAGTGAGGCGAGGTGGGCGCTGGGCGCCGTGGCTTTCATCCTGTGATTGTGTTTGCCACAGTGTGCCGAGTGTCACAGTGGATGGCAGTGGGACACACTGCATCTGCGACTGCGACTGCGACTGCGACTGAGAATGGGGCAACGCAGACACTGGCAACAGTGGACGAACTGGACAATGGCCAGAGCAGTGGGCAGACCGGTAGTTGGCTGCACCACATTCAATTGAAATCGACGTGCCTGTTTGCCACAAAACCGTTGATGATGGCTCGCTCGGTCGGTCACTGGGACACCCACAGGACGGGGGCGGGGGCATAAGTAGGCAGTGGCCGTAACAATGCCAAAAATTGATTGGCAACTACTTGACACAGGCTCACCCNCCGATCATGAGCAGACCCGGGAAGGCGTAGTTCTCGAGTATGATTTGGTGAATGATGCCGCTGCCGGGCTTCCAGAAGCCCAGGCCGTACTTGGCGCTGGTGGAGGCCAGGAAGTCATACACCTCCTTGTTCAGGTCCTTGGCGCGCTTCAGGTCCTGCTCGCCGCACACCTGTGCCTCGATCAAGTGGTCGCAGTGCACCGTCGACGGCACGGCCACCTTGCTCAGGCCGGACGAGATGAACTGCAGCAGTGCCATTTGGGCGGTGGCATCCTGCATGGCCACGCGATCCGGACGAAGCAGCAGATATGACTCGCCGCGCTTGATGTCCTGCTCGCCGGCACTGTCCAAGTGCGAGTAGAGCACCTTCTCCGACAGGGTCAGCGGACGTTTGAGCCGAGATATAACACAGTCCACCCGCTCGCTGAGCAGCTTATAGGGCAGCGGCGTGTCCGGCTCAAACTTGGACATCGGCACAATGGCGGACTTGGAGCTCATGGAAACGTTCCATTGATTCGTCAATGGCTTCCCCGCCCTTCTGCACAGCTTGCGCAGCCTCTCGGCTGTTCGGGCCAGCATACGCTTTGACATGATCGATCCTCTAGCGATGATATGGTTTATAGCAAAATATATATACAGATATATACAACTAAGACTTTCGATAATTTTGTCGCAATAATAAAATAGCTGAACTGTTTTTTTTACAAATTGGCTCTGATATATTTAGTTATTTATTTTTTGACAGCTTCTAAACAGCAGGCACGAAATGCCATGCGATGTCAAGCCATGCCATGCCATGCCAATAATGCCAAATGATTATCAATTATTAATTGGCAATGTGTCCGGGCATTACAATTGAGAGTCGATTAGTGGAAAAGCCATTTGGGGTCATGTTACAAAAATCAAACTCGAATTTACTACGGCTCTCAGCTGTGCAACATTTAAGCAGGTAGCTTTTGCGCATATTTGATGTGGACTAAGGTGCACAGCACAATGGGCGTGTCAACAGACCTGATGTCGCAATAAAGTGAGTGAGGCGATGCATATAAAACTATGCGGCATTTGGGCGACTCGTTCAGCTGAGCTGACGAGAGTCATTCCTGCCATAGGCCATCTGAATAGCAACAACAATGCAAATGGCAAACACATGGACAACACGTCATTTACTTGAGTGCAGAGGGGTGTGGAGCGTGGCAGTGGCAGTGGCAGAGCCCAAAGTGTCAACTGGAAGTGAGGCGAGGTGGGCGCTGGGCGCCGTGGCTTTCATCCTGTGATTGTGTTTGCCACAGTGTGCCGAGTGTCACAGTGGATGGCAGTGGGACACACTGCATCTGCGACTGCGACTGCGACTGCGACTGAGAATGGGGCAACGCAGACACTGGCAACAGTGGACGAACTGGACAATGGCCAGAGCAGTGGGCAGACCGGTAGTTGGCTGCACCACATTCAATTGAAATCGACGTGCCTGTTTGCCACAAAACCGTTGATGATGGCTCGCTCGGTCGGTCACTGGGACACCCACAGGACGGGGGCGGGGGCATAAGTAGGCAGTGGCCGTAACAATGCCAAAAATTGATTGGCAACTACTTGACACAGGCTCACCCACAAAGCTCTTCCATATGGACTACTAAGCTGTCAGCCTGGCACAACGTTGACTATGATTTTCTATAATTGATGGATTTCATTTTGTGCCCCAAAACCTGAGCGTTGGCAGTTGCATGACCTGGAGCATAGAGCAATTCAGTTCTTCCATTCTGCACACTCAAAAACACAATTGTCTTTTGTCTCGGCTTGATGAAGTGGACAATGCTCTATTTTGAGTAAATTAATTCCCTGTTCTCTGCCCTTTCCCTGTTGTCCATAAAGCCATAAAACCTATTTTTGAGTTATTATTTTGTGCGAACTGTGAGTCTGGCTTAGATATATCAATCATCTTCAATTGGAATTACAGGAAGCTTGCACTTTAGTTAAACTGTTCTTAAATTAAATATATTAGCTGTCTTCTCCGAGTCATCGATAACAGTCAGTTCGGCGAACTCTTCTCTGCGCTTCTCATACGCTTAAATTATTGCGTTTTACAACTTTTGCAATAAATAATGGAAAACTTATTGCCAGCAATTGAACTTAAAGAAAACAAGAAAAAGACAAAAGTTGGAAGCACCTATGCGTGAATATTACTTGGAAAAATGCGGTACAGAAGGCTAAACGGGCATATTACAATATAGAATATTATCTATGATTCATCCAACAGATGGGATGATAGATTAGAAAAAGAGTTGTAAAATTTAAATTAACTCATAATTTAGCATTGGACTTTGGCTGGATATTAAGTAAGATATTTTATTATAATCTGTATTGTTCATAATATATTATTCATAGTCTTCGATTCTTGCTGTGAAGCGCATTAGATTGTCGTTGAAGTTTAGCCATTGCCCGTTGTTGTCTGATTGGGGACAAAGTAAATGCAGCTGCAGTATCAAAATGCCTGAAAATTGCGGAGAAAATTTATGTACTGCCCCGCAGTTAAGTGTGGGCAGCTGTATTGAGCCGGGTGTGGCATAGTGTAGTGGCCGTGTGGTGTCGGTGTCTGTGGCCAAAGTTGCAACAAAACTGAAACTTTGAACTGAGCAGAAAAACGAAAAAAGAAATAAAATGAAAAAAAAAGAAAGAAATTTGTTAATCCTCGTTTTTGCAGCAGGCAGCGAACAATACGTTTGGTTTTGCTACCAGTGCACCACCGTGGTGCAGCGTGGCTATGCCTGCATCCAAGCTCAGCACAGCTTGCGGTAAAACTTTTCAATAATATTCCCAAAAGTCCAGCCCCAGACGTCGACAGCGACGACACCGACGACACCGACGAGAACGACGAAAGCGAAAAGAGACAGCGAATGGCAACGGAAGTGCCGGACGGAGAGTGCTGGACGGACACATAGCATAGTTTTTGGTGCTCGGGCAGCCATATTGCAGCAATGCCCAGCGCGAACAGGACGAATGCGCATTTATATGTGTTCCGAAAGCTGATTTCTCGCCCGATTCCCAGCTAATTAAATTCCCTTTCAACACACGATAGAATTAACAARGAGCAGCCAAACATATAATCGCATTCAGTTTTCGATGTGTGCTCAGGTAAACTTGCTTACCGTTATTTCTGTCCGAGCTTATGCACTATGCAACAGCAATTGCTTTAAAACAAACAATTGCCAGTTCGAAAAGTTATTCTGCCAATTTAAGCATTAGCTGGTAATTGTTTCAGTTATTACAGATTCTGATTTTCCTTAGGTTGAGTTTTCTATGGAAAAGCCAAATAGAGATATGAATTTTACAAATTTCTACAAAGTGAAGCCCAAAGAACTTAATTTCCACAAGTAAGTAATTCGAACCATTTCTAGTACAAGAAGAAATTACTCTAGATCCGATAAAACATGAAATTTTGTAGTTTAGAATAGTTTTGATAAAGCATTTTATTTTTTCTTATAAATAAAAAAGAAAAATATTCTTTTTCTTATTTATTCAATTTATTTCATATACCTATATCTCTATTAATATTCGCATTTATCTAACATCGCGCAGTTTCTGCATTGTGGAATTTATGTCCAAGAGCAGGCTCGGGTGGTGCATGGTGGACGTGGCCGTAGCCACCCACGAGCGGAGCTTTGTTTTAGTGCGCCCGGCAGACAAATTCAGCATTTCCCGCACACGTGGCTTTGGCGATTTCCTTTTGTGCAAACATATTTTACCGCAATTGCGGCACATGAGTTCTAGCTGCATTGAGGCGTAAGTAACTCAGCCGCCGGCCACGCCCACGTCCCAGCCCAAGCATCACCATAGTGAAACTGAGCCGCCAACCCCCTCCCAGCGGTTTCAATGTGCGTCTGTGTGTGTGTGTGTAGTGCGTCTAACTAGCGGCCATAACTCGGACATAGCTTGAACCTAGGCAATCCCCCCACTTTATTCAGTAGCTTACATTTATTTTTATTTTACATTGACTTGCTCCTATTTTGCGTTTTTCTCTTTCTTCTTTTTTTGCTTTTTGTTTTGTATTCACTAAGCTCTTTTTATTCTCACTCACTGCCATCGCTGCGCTCCAATGACGTCGCATTAAGGCCACTTGGTGGCCAACGTGGACCTGCACCTGGACCTGGACCTGCCCCACCTGGACCATATCGGCCCGATGGGATGCTGGGCCCAGCTGGGCTGCAGGTGCATAGTGCTTCGCTTTTGAGCGCATTGTTTCCGTCAATAGACGCATTTGTGCGGGTCAGCTGGGCACAAAGAAAGCAGAGAGTGGGCCAGCTCCGGGCCAACTGGGAGACCTGACCTGCGCCTCTGCTCCGCACAAGGGAATCGCCTGTTATGGCTGCTGATGTTGTTGTTGTTGTTGTTGTTGTTATGACTGGAAGCTGTTGGCCGCACATAATTAGATTTAATTTGCAGTTTTCCATATTACCTGCCCGTTTTTGGGGCCACGTATAATGCACCAAATGAACTTTGTTGTAAAATGGGTCCATTTAGTGGCACTGCAGCTGCATGGAAATTATGAGCCATTTCGTGCTGATCTATGGCCATTAGAGCAGGCCGTAAAGTGGGCGAGTTGAGAGTTCTTTGGGCACTTTTGTTAGCGATTTACTCCTGTTTATTGAGCTGCAGCCACCCAAGTCGAATGCTCTTCCATTTCGTTACTTACTTTCCAACGTAAATAACCTTTCAGCGAGCAGCACTTAAAAATACGCAAATTTATCGCTCATCTTTCATTTGCCTTTCAAGACGTGGCAGGGCTCGAGCAGGAGCAGCAGCATCAGCCGGGCTGCTGATGGACCGACGGCATCTTCTGTCCATCGGGGCAGCGATAAACTCTTGGTTTTTATGCCACTATCATAATATGTACACAATAATTATTCCCCGGATGGATTATAACGTGAACTTGGCGCAGTGCAAATGCCACACAAAACGAACGAGCGTAAAAATTGCTCGAGCTGTGCCGTTGAACTCCCTCGGTTGAGGCCAATACCAGTCCAGAAGCAGCGAACGCACTCAAGCGCAACAAAATGGACATGAAACAATGAACAAGCTGTAGCTGTTGCTGTTGCTGTTGCTGTAGCTGGGAAATGGAGCCTTATCAAATACTTGCTCAAGCTCAAGTAACTGCCTGTTATAGCCACTGCTGCTCGGCTCCTGCTAAAGCCAAGTAAATGTTTGTTATTGCCACGGCTACTCAGGTCTCGCGTTTACCTTCTTTCCGCATTCCATTACGGCTCTCGCGTAAGTGTCTTGCATAGCTATTTCACACTGAGACAACGACGTGAACTTAGATTTCCTGTGCTAGCTCCAATGCACATTGTAAAACTAC